TTATAATTATATAGATATGCATTTCTGTTGTTATCTTTGTTTTGTAGGGGTGGAGCCATGATGTCGGGTATGCAGCCGTGTGTTTTCTCAACATATATTTCACATAATCTGTCTTTCACTCTTCATCATTACATTTCACTTTTTTATTTCTCTTTATTTTTCTCCTTAAAAAAGCCACAGATGATGAAGCTTAGATACTAATATTCAGATATTCAGTTCTGATTTCTACTGGTGGCAAAAAAAAGTAAAATAATATTAATCAAGTCAAACTTTTAAGGATTTTTAAATAGATTTTTCTAAATTTGCTGAAGGAGTATCCAACCAAGAACTGTGAGAAACAAAAGCAGTTTCACTGAATAAGGATTATTTGTTTCAGCAGCATGTTTCAGACTCAGTCAGTGATGAAACAAACAGAAACGTCTCAGTTATCTACAGTCCAGTGACGAGCTGTTAGTGAACTTCTGCTGTGGAAACTGAAACAAACAAACGTCTGCTTGATAAAAATGAAACAAAGGTCCACGTCAGCTGTAAAATCATCTCAGTGTGTCACTGGAACATAAAGGACAGCGTTTCTTGTAAATATGGACAGTTTAAACAACATAAGATACATACGAGCAGGGCTGTAAAATGTGCGAGTTTTACTTTGTTAACTGTAAACTGGACCGAACCTAAAATAAAGATCACCTGTTTAATCAACAAGACCTGATACAAAACCTGCAGATTGACTTGTTTCTTAGTATTTCCTATTTGCTTACATAAATCATGGCTGTAAAAACACCTCAAACAAAAGTATAAACTTCAAAGTAAAGACAAAAAATAAAGCAAAGTCTTTGTTTTATTTTATTTTCGCACACACCCAGAGAGACATTCTTATGTAACAAGTGAACTTTGACAGATAATTGTTTCCTGCTCAGAATAACCTGTTTCTTCTCATAATAACTGTGTTTGATACAAAACAGATTCTTAAGCAAACTGAGCGACACAAAAACCTGAGATAACACACTGCAGCACACAGATATCACACATCCAGGTTAAAGGACGGCCTGCACGCTTTTCTCCTCTATAAAAAATCAGACTTTGATTTATGAAAGCAAAGTCCACGTCCTGCTTAAAGGTTTAATTAGGACTTTTTAAACTGAATGGAAATAAATTCACCTAAAATCAGTCACTGTGGTGAAACCTGCACGTTGACATTTTATCTTGCAGCTGATCTGTGTCGGCACGTCCTGAGATGTTAAAGCTGATTTCATCTAAAAATAAAAAAAATAGTATAGGTCTTCTGGACGGGTTCTTCTCTAATGAAACGTTTCGTCTCTCCTCCAAGAGACTTCTTC